ATTTAGGCCAAGCCAAATTTTACCTCCCCTCCTCCCCTGCGGCTTCCCTTGAAGCTCATATGGCCGTTTAATAGCTGCTCATCTCTCATAAATTAATCTTTTATTATTGGTGCTGGTTTTAGGGTTAATTCCCTGAATTCAGTGTTACCGAGGGGGCAAACGCCAGGGCTGTGCAAAGGGGGGTGAGTGCAGATCTGCCCCGCCAGCAGGGACCTGTGCTCAATCTGCTTTAAACCGCTCCAGAAGTTGTACCCAAAAGCGGGATATGCTTCCCTAGAGTGTGATTACCCCCTTCTCCTAAGGCCATAGGAAAAGATTCGGCTTTTTACGGAGCGACCTTGAGGCAAAGCGCTCCCCCGCAGCTGGTCCCCCCTCCCCGTCCAGCCGCAGCTCCTCCGCGGGATGTTGCAACCCATCCGGGGGAATTTTCTCTTGGGGTTCCTGGTGCTTGACGCAGCCCCGCTCCGCCACGCTCGGCAGCACCGCCGGGACATCCAGAATCCATACATATGATCCCGTCCCTGCCACACGGAGGCACAGCCCGGCACCTCGGCGGCCGCGGGGTCCGCCGGGACGCGCAGTCTTTGCTTGGGATGGCCCCGTGCCAGAAACTTGTTTTCCAGGCCCAGGGGAGATTTCTCCCGGGAAGATTGTCTCAGCAGAAAACTAAGGCAAAGTTTGGTCCCTCCCCTTCGGGCAGAGCCCGGCAGTGGCTCTGCCTGCGGGACAGACGTCCTCCCGTGGGAGCAGCCGCCGCTCCCCTGGCTCCGCAGGGCTCTGGGTGGCCGTCCTGCTCCTCTGGACGGCGGGACGGGAGCACAGGGCGACCGGGACACCGCACACCAGGTATGGGAAGCACTGGGCGCTGCTTGAGGGCGAAAAAAGGGTCTGGGGAGAGCACGGGGAGGAGCGACGGTGACGTGAGGGGTATTTTAAAGAGCTGGGTGGTTGCTGCGCAGCCCCTCACACAGGTTCTGAGCGCTCCCCGCTCCCCGGGTTCAGCCGGCTCATGCAGGAAGCCTGTTCCCAGTCCTCGAAGGATCGCGTTTCTCCACTTCCTCCCTTCCAGCCCTGTATCTGGCCCCAAATCCCTGTGCGTCCCTGCGGAAGGGTGGGATTCACTCCGGTGGACGTGCCCCTTGGCCGCTGGGTGTAGGACGAATTTTCCGGTGGGGAAAAGTAACCCACCTCCTGGCACGGCCGTGCCCAGCCTGGCGATGGGAAGCAGCAGTGCCAGGCTGCAGCAGAGGACACTTGGATTAGATGGAAGGGGAAAAGTTAATTCACAGCGAGGGTCTGAGACGTGCAGACCCGAGGCGTGTCCTGCTTTGAGCAGGGGCTTGGACTGGGTGACCTCCAGCGTCCTTGCCCACCTAAATACTTCTGGGAGGTTGAGAGGGACACACAGCTCGAGGTTTTGGGTGCTCTGCCAGACAGCATTCACCTCCCACACACCTGGCATCCCAATACCTGCAAGGGACCCTGCACCCCAACTGCTCTTGGAACTGGTGGGGAGAGGGATGGTGATTTTAAGACGTGGGTTTCCTGGTGTGTTTTAAGCTCGATGAACTCAGTGGTGAGGTGGTGGACTGGCAGACATCAGGACAGCCTGCCTGTACTTTACCCTGTGACACAACCATCCAAGCCTCTCCAGGAGCAGCAAGTAGTGGCTCCTCCAGGGAGGGACCGGGGGTGGTGGTGCTGCCTGGGCTTGCACTTACCAACCCATTAACATGTTTAGAGCAGCCAAGAAGCTGTTGTGACTTAGAAATAAGATCCTCTAAGAGGCAGCTCAGGAAACAGGGGATACACCAATCCCATCTCCGATATTATTAGTGGGTGGCCTCCCCTTTCTCTGCCTGCTGGGAGTGAAACATTCTATCTCTTCAAAATCAGCTAATATGATGCAGGAAGGGGCTGTTCTCCAGTGCTTACAGCGAAGTGACAGAGGATGCTCCTGCTGTGGGACATACACTTGGATTTAACTATTGGATCCAGAAACTCCATAGTTTATGGAAAGACTGAACCCAAGTGCCTCCTCCTGCTGACTGCAGAGCTGCTTCCTGCTGCTTCCACTTGATATCCCCCTGCCCCAACCACACAGCAGACAGGTTTCTCACCACCCAAGGTCTGCTGCAGGCCCAAACCAGCAAGCAAAGGGTAACAGGTTTTTTCAGTGCTTAAAATGGGGTATTTAAAAGCAGGGACAAGAGCTGGGGCTCTCAGGTAAATGCTGTCATAGTGCTTACATGTGCTTTTTCCCCCAGACCCTGTGAGTGTTGAAATGTTTTGGTATCTGGGGTAGGGACTAAGGTGATCCCATGCCCTGGTGATGAGAAATCACTCTTTGGTTCAATCTGCAGTGCCAAATCAGGCAGGGGATGTCCTTAAAACAGATTAATCAGAGCTCAAGAAGGGGACAGTGACACCACTGCGGAATATCATACTGGGGAGTGCCACTGAGATGAGCATGGGAAAGTGCCCTGAGATGAGGCTGTAAGGCTGTGGCCTAACCCAGGATGCAGGACCCTCACGTGAAATCTTGGGAATTGCCCAGCTCCACCTTTGGTTCTCTCAGTCTCCATTTCTGTTCTTGAGAAGGGGGATGTACCGACCTCCCCCAGCCTCTGTGCTCATGGTGATGTGCTGTCACTGAATTACTGAGGTCAGCACTAAGCCACATCAAGATGTTGCATGGAAGCAGCCTTTAAAACATGCAGCATGCTTGTTTACTGGGAAAATAAGTGGCTCAGATCAGTGAAAAAAACACACATTAGCATTTCAGTGACAGCCTCAGCCTTTTATACTCTGCAACACAAAAGGCGCCAGTGTGAAGGGCTCTTTCCTTCAGCTCCCTCACATTCCTCAGGCTCAGCTCCCCCGCTTTGGCAGCCTTCAGATAAAGGAAAAGCCAAGGTCAGGAGAAAAAGAACAACAAAGGAGAAAAAAAAATAAAAAGGAAAAAAAAAGCCAAAACCCAAATCTAAAACTGTAGGCCCTGGTAAAACCTCCCTTCCAGCTGCCCACTACCCAAGTGAGCGCTCCTGCTTGGGAACTGCTCGCCATTTGCCAATGGCTTTCACCCTTCCCAGAGCCCCCTGAAGCCCTTTCCTCCCTTGCTGGAGAAGCTGGCACCTCTGCAGCCCCCAGCTGCTGGGACAGACACTTGACAAAGTGACAAGGATCAGGTTTTGTCAGGCACACGGAGCTCCAACACCAGCACCACCATCCTCTGTCCTCCTGCACCAGCAACTTCCCACAAGATTCATGGAGATGTCAGACCCCCTCAGGAACAGCAAGCCCACTTCAGAAAGCGCTGGGAAGTAGCACAGTGACACCCAGGACCCCATCCTGCTGCTCTCACATGCATAAGCTCTCCCACTGGAAATCCCTGGAGCACCGGAGGGGAGTTTGCAGGATTTGGCCCAAAAAAGCTCCATGCTGGATCATCTGCTCGTGCTAGTTCACACAGACCCATGGAAGCTGGTGCTGACCTATACTGACATTGGATCCAGCCTTGGAATTTAAAAAAAGCCTCTGTGTTTATCCAAGTGTTGGGAAAGGCTGTCAGAGCTGCTTCCTGTGCCCTTTCAATCCCCAGCTCCGGAACCGCTGCAGGAACCGCCCTGCAGCAGCCACAGCACAGCAGCTCTGGCAAACAAACTCAAACCCACAAACTGAAGGCAAAACCACCCTGAGACACAAGGAAGCCATCATCTCCCTGGCTGAATTCACCATCAGGAACGAGGACATGCTGCTGGAACTTCCATTTTACCTGTTTATCATGCTTGAAGTGGACCCAGTTCTCGTCTGAGGCATGTGAGGACTCCAGTTGTTAAAAATTGAGGAGCAGGACACTCAGGCCTCAGCTACTGTACAGCCAGCACAGCTGTGACACTCCAGACTTAGAACACATACAGACATATAAACCCACAACCTGATTTCTTAGAGAGCATAAGAATTTAGTTTCCAGTACCACAGGAGGAGAGCAGGGCTGATGAATGCTGTTATCCCAGAGTATCTATAGGGAAATCAATTCCCAATGCTTAACTTAACAGCTTACAGGGGGCTGGGTCATTTCTCTTCTGCTGCAGATGCTGGAGGTGCACAGATGAAGGTTGAAAAGTTGGTTTAATACAAAAAGAATGGGCTGATAATGTAAACTACGGAGGCTGACAGGCAGGAGGTTTGGTATTTCCTTTTCTGCTGTTCTTTCAAGGGCTGGACACACTGGGCAGAGCAGCAGTTTAGCATATGAGTAGTAAAATACTCTGCACAGTCACTGTGTTGTTATTCAAGTTCCCCCAAAAGAGTAAAGAAGAGCAAAAGCACCATTTTTACCTGTACCTGAATCAGGCACCTTCTGAATTTCCCAAGAAATAATGACATTGTTCTAGAGGAAAGCTGGGAAGGTGTTTAAAAGTCAGGCTTCAGGTGCGAAATGTGTTTTCAACTTGTATTTCTTACCATAAGCAAGGTGCATTTGGTGTCCAATCCTTAATATCTATTATTGCTTTATAAATTAATGTTCTGCTTAATACAGGTGGCTTGTAAGATGGGTAGAAATTTTAACATTTAATTTGCCTTTTAAAAAACAGCCATAATATGACAGTTTCTGAAACTTCGAAAACACCCCTCACCTGAACATCTTTCTGTTTAGAAAAGCCACATTAAAGCATACAGACCCAGAGGTTCAGTGGCAGCTGAACTCCAGCCCTTTGGACTTGGAATGGGCAGTCACAGCTCCACTCCTAAACCTACTGCCAAATCCTTTCATAGCCCTGGGTAATGGAAAGAAAGCACTGCTAACAAAAAACACTTCAGAATTCAGTAGTAGCCTTGTATCTATCAAAAAAAAGAAATGGTTATGTAAGTTACATAAAAGACCTCAAATTAAAAAAAAAAAAGTTCTACAAAATGACAAATGGGCCTTACTGGAACAATTAAAAATCAGATCAAACTCTCAGAGAAACTATATCATAAAATAGTCCACACATTGCTCCACCAACTTACAAAAAAACAGCTTTATTTTTGTTTTTCTGTTTTTTTAATGAAAAGGAAACAAAAGTTCCCAACAGTCTCAGAAAGCCTAAGGTTCCCCTTGAGTACTAGTTTTTGTCTGGCTAATGTGCTAAATGCAACAGTTCCCCCCAGATTTGCATTTATGGTTAGGTCAGCTTTTGCTCCAACGCCTCCCCAGTTAGATCCTGCTCTGTAAATGATGCCTAATTGTCAGCTGGAGACCCACACAGCAAAGACACTGAACTCAGCACATCAAACTTCCCTTTACATCTTCACATGAAAATAAAGTTGGCTTTTTTTTTTTATTCCATTTTTGGCTAAAGCTTTAACAGTTCCAGAAATGCAGTATTTGGTCTCCTTGTTTACTGCTGACCCCCAACAATCCCCACATTTTCCCTATATACATGTTGCTTGGTATCAAGGGGAAACCCTTCCAGAAGCAGCAACTCTGGCTCCTGTGTATCCAACAGCTGAAGGAGGAACTGGCAGGGCAACCTCTCAAAAAACAGCAGCTGAGCTGCCAAACACAGTCTTAAATCAGCCACTTGGCCAGGCTTAAAACCCCTTCCAGCAGCTAGTATTAGCTGCCGAGCACTTAAACGTAACCACATCCTCTCCTGCAATCGGGCAGAGACTTTTCCAAGCACTTTTGCTTTATGGGATGTAAGGACGATGGAGCTGGGCTGTAAGAAGGATGGAGATGGGCACACTGGGATGATGGAGCTGGGTTGCTGTGATGACCACAGAGCTGGGCATGCCAGGGATGATGATGGAGCTGGGACACTTGGATGACAATGGAGCTGGGTCACTGGATGCATTCTTGAAGTGGTGGATGGGGAAGGGAATTTTTTCCGCATGGATGAATGGAGCCATTAGCTGCCAAGGGGAGCCAGGAGGAGGGCAATACCACACTGGAAGCGCAGTTTCCTTCTGGCTCCCTTTCCAGGTGTGTCTGGAAGGGGTGGGTGAATATCCAGTGGTGGCACCACTAGTGTGTGTGTCCCGCGGAGCAGCCCTACGCAGCCAGGTCGAAGTCGTCGCGCTCCTGGTTGTAGTCGAGCACCTTCTGCCGCAGGCGCGAGGCGTCCACCCAGGTGATGAAATCCTCGACGGCGCGGGGGACGAGCAGCGCGGGGTCTGTGACCACCTCGGGCCCCACGCGGACGTGCCCCTGCTCCACGAAGGTGACAGCGTGGCGCAGGTTCTGCGCCATCCGCAGCTTCACCAGCAGGCAGGGCAGGCGCCGGCGGCAGAATGCGGCGGCCGAGAGGCTCTCGCAGACGGCCAGCGACTGCCGGCTGTTCACCAGCCCCAGCCCGTGCAGCTTCTCCAGCAGCGCGGCGGCGCAGCGGGCGCGGAACGCGGCGCTGTCCGGGCCCAGGTCGCGGAGCCGCCGGGCCAGGGCGCGCACGGAGCGGGCCAGCGCCTTGTACTGCACGTAGTCCTCCCGCCGGCCCAGCCGGTACCGCCGCAGCGCCCGCACCTCCGCCAGGTTACCCCCCGACGCCTCCCAGTTCACCAGGTCCAGCCGCCGCAGCAGCTTCTGCTCGTGGTACTTCAGTTTCCGCACCATCTTGACGGGACACGGGATTCAGGCTCCGCCGCGCCGCCGGCTGAGAGGGGCCTTTCCGGGGAGGAGCGGCCGCCTACGCCGCGGTTCTTCCGGGGAGGAGCCGCTGACATCGGCCGGGGAGTGAGTCCCGCCCCGGGAGTCCTTCCTCAGGAGTCCCGCTCTGGGGCGGCCGAGCCCGGTGGGGCGGTGGGTTGGGGATGGTCCCGTGTCTCCTTCCCGAAGGAGAAGGCAGCGGATAGAGCCCACCCCCGCGGCCGGAGCGGCTTCCTTGCTGCCCAGCCCGGGATGCGGCTGCTTCCCCCCGCGCTCGGCGCATCCCCGGGGCCAGCCCGGCTCGGAGGGGTCACCCCAGGTACGGCCGCGCCGCCCCGACACCCGCTCCGTCACGGGCAGCCCGCCCTCGTCTCTCCAGGGATCGAACCCGGGCTTCGTCATTCCTCCCGGAAAAATGGCAGCGGCGTTGTATTTCTCCGTGACATCCCGCTCCTCCTGATGCATAGGCCGATTTTCCTTGAGGAGCCGCAAAATCCTCCCTCTGTGGTTCGTAACACCGCAGACCTCCCGAGTGCCACCGCGGCCTCCCCAGCCAAAGGTTTCATCCCACCTTTCTGTAAGTGCACGGTGCTGTCTGATCCTTAGGATTCAGGATACTCCAAGGAAATTCCCCAGTAGAACAGGTCAGGTTGGTGATTCGGGATTTCTCTGATTCTCACAAGCAGATTTATGTATCGGCTCAATCTTGAATTTCTTACTCCTGGATCTTCAGCGCACTGGATTTGTTTCAGGGTGGGTGATCTGGTCACAGAGGCCATGGCCCTCTCCTGATTTGCGTTGTGCTTTTCTCCAGGTTTGCCAGTGAAGGCACCAATGGAAATGTGGACCAACAGCACTGAGAGGTTTTACAGAATTCCTGAAGGAAAGGGGCCACACTCGGTTGGATGTACAGACCTGATGACAGAAAATGCAGTTGAGGTAAAGCTTTTGATTCTTTCTCTTTTGGATTTAAGCCACAGTGTTAGTGAAACAACTTGCTGTAGTTTTACAGAGGAGTCACACAGAAGGTCTTGTCTGTGTGCTCCATACTGACACTCATAGCTGAGCTTTCTATCCTCTCCATCCTGGTGTAGGATGTATACTGGGCATTTGCTAGATGGATGTGACCTGCAAGCCTTCCCCGTGGCCAGTTCCTCCTTCCTCCTAATACCTTTTCCTTTCTGACTCCCCTACTCAAGATACTGCAGAGAGACTGTGTCCTCCTGGGACCCACGGGGTTCTTCCCACCCACCCCACCACTCCCTCCTGCACTGAGCTCCTGAGGAGACTCCACGTGCAGTCTCTGTGTCTGTAGCTGTTCTCATCACAAAGGTCCCAACAGGATTTGGCAGTGCTAGGAGATGCAGGTGTGCAGGGCTGGGAGATGAGAGTGTGCAGTGTTTCAGCTGCAGGGTAAAGCGTGAGATGTCTTCTTGAGATTTTATCTCTCTGAGAAGAACAGGATGTCAGGTCTGTAAGAGGTTAGCACGGTGAGAAGCCACAATAAGAAGATGGGCACAATAAGTAGACAAGTAGACAAATGAATTCACTTGTGGGTTTCTGTATCAAATCCTCTTGCTTCTTAGACAATATGCCTGCAGTTACACTGTGGTTTTACTCCTCAGACTAGCCATAGTCTTGTGATCAGCTATGATCAGTTTGTAGTGGTTGTTCATGTTTTCCTTTACTGAGCTTACTCTGTATTAGCACAAAGCAGCAATTAGTTTCTCTTTGCAATCAGCCCATGTGTTTTTGTTTTGATAAGCGTTTTGAACAATTACAGTTTTCTCAAGCATAGGTAATGAACATCTTTCCCTTTCTGGTAAGCAGTTAATCACTGGGGAAGTTCACTGGGACTGTTTTGAGATTAAGTTAATATCTTTACCAATATGGAGGAAGGTTTTTCCTTAATGGTCTTTGTGTCAAAGGTTGGTTTAACTTTGATAAGTAAATAGAAACAAGCTTCATTAAACAAGCTTTTGGTAAACTGATACATTAGCGTTCAAGAAATCAGGCTTTATTCTAAAGCTCATGTTTATTTTGGCCCTAATCTTAACTTGCTAAACCAAAAGCACAGTTGGAGCAAGACAGTGAATTTGAAGTGTGTCGCAAATTCCCTTGCAAACCAGGAAGTAAGAATGCAGATTACACACAGTTCATTTGCTTTGAGGTGTGGCATTGGTACATTGCTGCTGTCTGCAAAGGAAAAGGACTGACAAGGGGTATGGAGAGTCCATGTGAGTGTGGAAAGCTTAGGTGCTTTCCTGGGAGACCTGGAGTGCAGATAATAAAAGAAGATTCAAACTGGTGGTAAGGAACAGAAGCAGATAAAGCACAGGTTAGCAAAGTTGTGTTTAGAAAGATGGACCACTAGGGACTTTTAAGCATCTTGTTGAGGAGGAAGAACAATATATTGTGTTCCCTTGCTGTGCAGCTGCCCAAGAGCTTCACAGACAGCCTCTGCTCAGTTTAGCCAGGAACACTATAGCCACAAGACCATGCCCCTGACACACCTCCTCTGCTGGACCACACTGCCAGAAACTAGTCTCAGGGTAAAATCTGTCTTGCTAACCTAGTGGAACAATATACATCCAGGGGGGTCCTTTCCCCCCCCTCCCAGTTTAGCAAACTCAGTTGGGTCAGTAACAGCTCCATGAGACTCACTGATGCAAGGAAAGCAATGACAGCTCCCAGCTGAAAGGGTGAAGGGACAAAGTCATAAAATCATGGAATCACTGAATGGTTTGGATCAGAAGGGACCTTAAAGACCATATGCCATGGGCAGGGACACCTTCTACTAGGCCATGTTACTCGGGGCCCTGGGCAACCTGGCCTTGAACACTTCTGGGGATGAGGCAGCCACAGCTTTTCTGGGAAACCTGTGCCAGGGCCTCACCACCCTTACAGTAAAGAATTTCTTCATAATATCTAATCTAACCTTGCTCTCTCTTAGTTTAGAGCCATTACCCCTTGTCTCGTCAGTCCAGGCCCTTGTCCAAAGTGCCTCTTCAGTGCTCTTAGAGCCCCTTTAGGTACTAGAAGGTGATCTAAAGTCTTCCCAGAGCCTTCTTCAGGCTGAACGTCCCCAGCTCTCCTGGCCTGTCATCCTAGGAGAGATGCTCCAGCTCTCAGATCATCCTCAGTCACCCCTTTAACAGTCAGCCCTATAAAACTGCATCATAGAACCATTCCCAGTGAGGAAGACAGAAGGAAAGATCCAGCAAGATGCTGAAATGGAGCAAATTGGTAGTGAGTGTTTGTAAGTTATTAACTTAGTTAAATGGAGCATTTTGAATTAGCATAGGCTAACCTAGGGAAGGTGATGTGCATCTCTACCTGTGAAGTTGTGTATCTCATGCTACTTTAAATTCATTTTAGGGACAGAAAGTGAATTGGCATCAAAGCCTGTATAGGATAATAATTTTCTCATGAGATTCTCGTAAATCTCTTGAGCTGTCATTCTTGCATCCGAAGCCCTTTATATAGATGATTTTATCTTCCTTTTTCTCTGCCATATATAAAGAAATGCCAATATTGCTTTTTTTACTTTCCTCCTGATCCCAGGGAAGCTTCTTGCGCCTGTATTACCCAGCATGTGATGCCACAGATATTGAGGAGGCACGATGGATTCCAGATAGAGAATACTATCAGGGACTCTCTGACTTCCTTAATATGTACCGGATTGTAGGAGAAAGGCTTTTCCATTACTACGTTGGTAAGACTGGTTCTGGTTTTATTCCTTGACTAGTGCATTAGCTCTGTTTGCAGGCCACTCCCTCGCTGTGGTGGTATTGCTGGACTGAAAAATATATTTTAGCAAACAAATGTTTTTGTGGGATGGGTTTCTGTAGGGAGGCTCAGTGTTGAACGTGACCAAGTTCTCAGGCAGTCCCTGACTGCTGTGGATAGGAGTGTCTGGGCAGTTTGCTTTAGGAAGAGCTTGGGTAAGCTGCACCTGTGTGTTGGGATTCAAATCCCACAGGGAAATGTGCAAAGATGTAAAAGCTGGAGAGATCCTAAGGTCTGAATACCAACAAGACTTGGATGCCGGACTGTTAGCATTTAGGAGATATGTAGACCTTGTGCCAGACTGTGGCTGAGAAGAAGAGAGGGAAAGTATCTTCTGCCAAGTAGTAAGTATTTTCAGAATGAGATCCAGATTTGTCTTATGTATTTTAAAGATGAGACTTCGTACCTTATCTTTAGGTGACTGCTCTTAAGTCACTGGTCACCACATTCTTGGGATCTCTCCCACAGGAACGAACACTTTCTTTCATTTCAGTAACAATGACATACACTTCTGTTTTTATCCAGGTTCAGTGACCTGTCCTGCAAAGTCAAATGCTGCCTTTAAGCCAGGAGAAAAATATCCACTTCTTATTTTTTCCCATGGACTTGGAGCTTTTCGGTAATTCTGCAGTTTGTTGACAAACTATTTTTGTTGTCTATGGAGACAACAGTTACCAAGGATGGTTCTGAACGGTTTTTCAGTAGGGGAGTGAGATCCTTCTGGAGCTGAAACAGATTTGAATAATAGGCTGCTGTGCGTCAATGTGCCTCCACTGAAACAACAGCAGTAAATAAAAGCAGGGTTGATGTATTTTTGATCATAGAATCATAGAATGACCTGGGTTGGAAGGGACCTTAAAGATCATCTTGTTCCAACCCCCCTGCCATAGATAGGGACACCTTCCACTAGACCAGGTTGCTCGAGCTCCGTTTGTTTTCCCTTTGTATGATAGTGGTGAAGGTATTTACTGACCCATAAGCACACTGTGAAGACTAGCTAGTTGATTTTTGGACAGCTCTTTGAAGATGCAAAGTGCTGTATGTGCTACTTATTAAAAATCAGTAGCATTTTCCCTTCTGAATAGACAGTAAAACAGCACCAAGGTTTTTTGAACAGGCTTTGGTGCCTGGCATACAAAAAACAGGCTTTGCTGGGTAGCAAATTCAAACCGAAGGAAATATCGAGTGGGGACTAGCACATACATGGTGTAGTCAGTATTTAAAAAGCAGTGGAGTTGAAAGAGTTAATGACTCACCAGAGTGTGTTTTTTATTGCAGGACAATCTATTCTGCTATTTGCATAGAGATGG